TATTAACTAGTAATTTTTAATTATTTCATTAATTTTTAATAATTATTTTAATTTTTATTTGTGTAAATTATTAATTATTAATTATTTTATATAATATTTTTATAGTCATTAATTATTTTTTTTATTTTAATCATTTCATTTATTAATTAGTAATTTTTAATTATTAATTTATTGTTTTTAATTTGTATTGCATTAATATTATTTTGAACTTAAAACTTATTTTTTATGTGACAATGCAAATTGAACTCAACATTTCTAAATAGTATGTTCTAGGGATAAAATAGTAAAATCAGTGAATTTCAAATGGTAAAGGGTTGATCCAATACAAACAAACTTAAGGATTCAGAGTATCTAAAAAGTATAAAAGCACCTATGCTTCTTTCTAGATTTCATACACAAATAATATCTTTTTAACTTTTTATATATGAAATTTCAAATTTATCAAACACCACCTTAATATCTAGATTTCCCAATGGCAACCATCTATGAACTTGCTTCAATGGTATAGGCATATCCCGCTATTGCTAAATTGGGCAGATTACTCACTATTTGTGAACATAAGGTTGTGTTTGGTTGCAGTGCAATTTTATTTGTACTAGTACAAATGCATGGGAGTGCAAATGAAAAAATGCAATTTTTCATTTAATTTTATTTTGTGTTTTTCTTTATTCTGCTTCATGTCTTAATTTACTTCATTTGCTATGTAATCAAACAAAATAAACTAAAATTTAAAACGAAGGTAGGTCAGAAATTACACTCAATCATTTGCACTGCCACAGTTTCGCATCATTGCTAATTTATTTGCATTGCAACCAAACACAACCTAAAAGAAAAACAGAAGTACATTTTGGGTCTGACTAACTTGGGGTGAACAAGGGTATGGGCTGTTGGACAACCTGACTTGCAGCCCTAGGCTACTAGCCCATCCCAACCTCAAATTCAAAGTGAACAACCAACAAGGGTGAAATTTGGATGGGCCCTTATCCAGCATTTGTTAAAATTTCAAGGGATTATAGTGTGAGTTTTTCTCTTAACAATAAATAGTTATGACAAGTTTGCTAGAAGATGCTATTGGATTTTAATCTCATTAGAGATTAAATCCAATGGGGTTTGATTGGTCAATTACATGACAAAACACACCTGTACACATGTTTTGAAAAAATAGCTTTTCTCTTACTAAAACCAGTTTTAAGTTGTCCCACATTGAAAAATTACAAGTTTTGTTTTGAGATTTTTAATGAGCCGCTTTTGGTGCGATGCTGACTGTTGATGTGATCAACGGCCACGATTCGATCGGGTGTGATCAAGAGACACAATTCAAAGTTAACACCTTTTAAAGAATCACAATGTTTGAAATTTTGGCTTTTCAATGTGCCTTTCTCCGAACTAGCACCTTCCTTTTCTTCATAACTCTTCAGAAACTATTTAAGGAGCATGAATCAAGTATTTCACACACAATTTCGAAATTCACTTTCTTTCTCTTTCTCAGTCTGGTTTGCTATTGAGACTCATCAACTTTGCTAGTTGTAAATTCTTGCACAAGGCTCTGTTGTATCCTGTGAACGAATTTATCTATAATCCAATAGAAAACTCAATAAAAATGAGTGGGGGTAAATAACATTTTAAAGACAATGTCTTCACAAAGCTTCTCCAATTTTCAAAGACCCCATTTCCAAACGAATACACCTAATTGACTTTATCCGCCTAGATGGGTTGAATGAATTCACATATGCGGAGCACCCTCCGTGGGGCGCAGAGGAGGTGAACTCGGGTTGAATTAGAGTATTAGACCCATTGGACTGGCTTTAAATCTCCGTATCTAATGATCAAATTGAATTAAATGGGTGGATAGTGGATACAGAATTGGGTTGGATTAGAGTTGGCCCAAATTAGCATTTTAGCAAAACACAAATCCACTCAAAATTTTCAAATTGCACCCCTAATGAGAGTGGGTGTGGGTTGATGAGTGAAATTGTATCTCTGTTTTGGGAAGTGAAATTGTATCTTTTTGGTGAATAAGTTAATTGTATCTCAGTCAATCCTATCGTGACTATGGTTGGTCTTCAGGGTGTAGCCTTTTATTTTTTAAAATATTCTTTTTGGATGGTTGCAGATCGCTTCTGAGTAAGCTTACTCAATTTGACATTTACGTGTGATAACAAAATCAAAGGACGAAAAAAAGTAAAAGAGAAAAAAAGATCAAAATCTCTCATTTTTAATTCTCGCCTTTGCATCAACATCATATTGATTGACTTTATTACTGCTAGTGATTTTGGTTGGAAACTTCGTATGAATTTAATATGCATATATGGGAGATATTTTTGATGTATATATATACAAGATTTATAAGTTGTATTATATTATAATTGATTGTCTATTTGGAGAATTGTAGAGTGGGATGAATCCGGATCTGTTTCTCATGTAGTACTCTTTTACCGATTTTATATTAATTATTCGGATCCTGTTGAAGTTTAGGTTGGGTTAAAGGTTGACAATTTGGCCCAACCATTTTTACATATAAATATTATATAATGTATTTGTATAGACAAATTTTCAGAAGTAAAAATTTCCTAATATGATTATTCTTGCTTTTTTGGTATTAATAATATGATTATTCTTGGAGCACGGTATATATAGCTTTGTCCTTGTACATATAATTAATAATGCTACAATCAATAAACTTCAATTTACTATTCTTAAGTCCAAGGATAAAGAAAATTTTACCAAAATGAAGCATAGAAACTGGGATACTCAAATCCAACCGAAATCGAACTAGAACCCAAACTGATCCCACCCAACTCAAAAGAGTCAAATTGGGGGTTAGGGATAGGTTGGGGGTAGGGGTGAGCAAGAAAAATCGAAAAACCGAATCGATCGAATCTGAATCCAAAATTCAGTTAATTGAATCGGTCGGTTTGATTTTGAATCGGTATTTTAAAAAAATTGAAAGTACCTGTTCGGTTTCAGTTAACGAAAATAGAAAATCAGCGATTAACCGAACTGACCGGTGTACATATATTATATATATTTTATGTATATATATATTTATATTTTATATTTTCTATACTTTATAAATTAATAAATATGCATTATATAAATATATATATATATATATATTTATAATATATAATATATTATTTATTATTTAAAATATAATATTTTATATATTTCTAGTGTTATATTATATATTTATATATTTTTATTATATATTGCAAATAATAAAAAAATGACAAATCGAACTGGTGATTAACCGAACTAGTCAACCGATCAGCTTCGGTTCAAAAATATGCCCATGGTGACCTCAACTCTACCTAGCTTTGCTGCATCCTTAACCTCTTAGGCGTTGAGGATTGAGGATGTTCAATAGTGTGATATTCTGTGAATTAGTTGGTTTTGGAACACATTATACCCGTTAGGTGTCATCTTAAGGGTATGAAATGTTCTGAAACTTTTGTGCTCTAATTCACAAAATATTGCTATTTTTTATTGGTGATAAAAATCACCCTTTGGAACCATGGTTTTGTGTTTACATAGAGGGACAATGGGAAATGAAAAAAAGATTCGGTGCGTGGAAGGAATTTGGTTCAAGAATCAAGATAACCCATGGGAAAAGTAAGACCGAGCGAATTCAAAGGAAAATTCTGCATGAATGCCTGCCTGCTTAGCTTGGCACATACCAATTCCTCTTTTCTCATCTCTATTGGTCTTTTAGTATTTGCTGATTGGGGTGATACATTTTTTATATATGAGTGGCTCAATTGAGATTTATTTCAACAGAGACATGAATTCAATTCCTGCTACCACCGGTTTTGTAGGACGCGGGATCTCCTGTCCATGAAAACTCTGCCCATGTTTATATACAACATACTATCCACGTGAATTAAAAACGTTTCCCCTTGCATAATATTATGTAGAAGGATGAGATATTCTTCATATATAACTGTCATGTTATGTAAAAGGTGTTATTATTAGTACGGTGTTGCGCTATTTAAATAGCTCTTATAGAATATTCAAATATATCACCAAATACAAAAAAATCTAATCTCCACTTTGTTAGTCTATTGATACCTGTTTGTTGGAAACTATGAGCTATACATACCATAAACTCTTTGGCATCATAGATAATCCCTTCTAATGGAGATTTCTAAATCATTTCATAGATTATAACTTTGCTTTCTCACTTTGACACTTTACCATGAATTATTAAAATTAAATTAAGGAGAAGTGAACATGGTCTTGATTTTTTTTGGTCTCTACTTTTGAATTGGCTATTTGAAGGGGGTGGTTGGTCACTTGGTTGAACAGGTTATCTTTCATCGTTTATTGGTTAGGTACTTAGGTTAAGCTTTGCTGCTTACCGGTACATGTATATGACTTGTTATTTTGTCAGCTGGAACTGCTTATATATTAAACACGTGGCAAGGCATTTTAGGGTCGATTTTTTTTTTTTTGAAAAACCCTCTTAATTCTCTCGGTCCACCTCACCAGTAAAAGTCTAACACCCACATAAATGTCGTATATATGATGCCAATCTAATGGCTAAAGCGCATCTTCGTCCCATTAAAGTGGGAAAGCAGAGACCAAGTGATCCCACTGTTCAAAATTTCAATGACACATGGGGCACGACCACCACATTTCTTTATCACGCCTTACGTAGGCGTAAAAGCACACACAAGACAAGAGTCCATACTGAGTCATTCCATCAGACGCACAGTCATCAGCCATCAATGAATCTCATCAAATGAAAGGTCCGGTTCTGTCCACGGAGGATTGGTGGTGGGTCCCTAGCTACCACATTTAGGGCGAGTGTGTTCTCGGGTCTTAAGTCTAACTCGTCCATCCCTAACACGTCAATGGCATCCGTACATGTGATTCTTAGATGATTCAACGGTCAGAAATGGTACACAGAGTGAGGGATTTCCCCTGCATATGTGTTTTGACTATACCCACCCACTCTTAATTTTAAGAGAGAGAGAGAGAGAGAGAGAGAGCGAGCTCTTCTGATGCTTTTAACGCTTTCTTGTCTTGCTTACACCAGAAGGGAGAACTAGCGCGATACTTGATTTAAAAAGATAACAGTTGATAGAGAAACAGAGAGAGAGAGAGAGAGAGAGAGAATATGGCAGAAACAGAAGCGATAGGATCATCTATTGAAGAAACACCAACATGGGCTATTGCTGCTGTTTGTTTTGTGTTAATTTCCATCTCTATTCTCATCGAACATGCTCTCAATCTCATAAGCAAGGTACATATAGTTTCTGTATATTCATGGGTTTGGTGCATATCTGTGGAGCGTACATTTTACTTGATGGTAATGATACCATTTGCTGGTGTTTGTTTCAGTTCTTTACAAGACGGAGAAGGAAGTCTCTAAGATTGGCTCTTTACAAGATCAAATCAGGTATAGTACAGATAACCTTCGTTCAATTTATAATATTTGTCCTTCGACCGGTCTTCTTTCTTTTCCTTCAATGTTAATAATTAATCTCTTTCTGTTTCCTTTTGTGTAATCTTGTCTTTCTCTCTTGAATGTAGAGCTGATGCTTTTGGGCTTCATCTCCTTATTACTAACCATTTGCGAAGAGCACATCTCTAAGATCTGCATCCCCAAGAATGTCGGCGAGAGCTTCCTTCCATGCAAGAACTTAATTCACTCAAATGACATTGGGGAAGAACCCAGATGTGCAGAGGAGGTATGAAATATCTTCAAAGCAAGCAAAATCAATACATAGGTTTTGCTGTATTGGTTTTTCTTATAAAACATGCCCCCATGACTGCCGTTGAATCATGATTGATGGGCCTCCTGTTTATGGGTTTGTGATGTAATACTGATTTGGCTGTTCCTGATCTTTCCTTGGTTTGATTTTTATGAACAGGGAAAGGTTTCAATTTTGTCTAGAAACGGTGTTCAGCAACTCCAGTACTTGATCTTTGTCTTGGCCTTCTTTCACGTTCTTTCCTGCGTTCTCACCTTTGGTCTTGGGATGGCCAAGGTAATTAGCTCTGTTATTACATCATGGACCTTACCTTTTCTGGTCTTTTAGTTAATTATCTTGCTTAGTTTCCCGTTTTGCACCATATTTGTCAACAAATTTGACATTTCACGATTAGAATTTAAACAACAAATGTAAGCAGTCAATCCAAAAATATATAAATAATTGTAGTAGCCTGAAAATATTATTAGTTTAAGGGAAGCTTCTATTTGCAGATTGTTCTCGAGGAAATTGTGTCCGGTGTTGTTTATTTTGACTAATGTCTCTCTTTTTTGATTCACCAGATGAAGAGATGGGAATCTTGGGAGGAAGAAACAAGAACTCTTGAATATCATTTCACCAATGGTATGCTTCTGGGGGCTTAGGACTTGGTTGGAATATTAATGGTTGTTCTGAAAATATAGATTGAAGACAGTAGAACTACTTGCATTTGTGTGGCTGTTAATTAAATGCTGGAGATAACAATTAAGCAAATGGTAGCACCATGGATGTGTTCATTATTCTGGAGCTCTTAAGTCACAAAAGGATAACCCAACCATTGTAGTTGCAGTGTTGCAGTAGTAAATCCTCTTCACCTTTTGTCCTGCGATTTAAGGGCTCCAGCTGCTTTGCTCTAACATGTAACAACATGTCGGTTCTGAACAAAAGAACCTAACATTAATTCTGACTATAACATGTATAATTCAGAAAAATCTTCTAATTATAGGAGTTATTGAACTATGTAGATCCAAGAAGGTTCAGGCTCACCCATCAAACATCATTCGGAAAACGACATCTGAAGTGCTGGAGTGAATACCCTTTACTTCTTTGGCCTGTAAGCTCTGCGCACAGAAGAAGCAAGATTTTCAGTTCCCTGTACCTACGTACCTGCTGTCTGGTCTTCTAATCATGTGAATCATACCTGCAATTTTGTAGGTCTGTTTTCTTCGGCAGTTCAATGCGTCTGTCTCCAAAACAGATTATTTCACTCTTCGCCATGGATTCATTATGGTAATTCCAGGACTAGTTTCAATAAATTAACACAGAAGAATGCTTCACCTGGTTTTGATTCTAACAAGTTAAGTTTCTTGTCGTTTCTCTCCTCCTAGGCTCACTTTGCAGAAGGTAGTGAGTTCGACTTCCAAAAGTTTCTCAGACGAGCTGTGGATGAAGATTTTCACGTGGTGGTCGGAATAAGGTAATTATCTAGAGGAAGATTTATATATTTGTCATGGTGCACTTCAAAATCCAATTAACTGGTTACTGGAGGCTTTTTTTTTTTTTGTTTCTTTTGCAGCCCGTTGATGTGGATATTCTCGGTGTTGTTCATATTTTTCAATGCAAATGGTAACACTAATGTTTCTAGTTTTCAATGAACACCACTCTGTTTAATAAACTAGGCAAAGTCAACTAACTTTCTTTCATCTGCAGGATTTTACAATTATTTCTGGCTTCCATTTATTCCTTTAGTGGTGAGCCCTTCATTTCATATGGCTTGTTATTGTGAAATTGTAGAAGAAAGAGGAAATTGATTAATAAATTTCTTTGGTGTTGCAGATGCTTCTGTTGGTGGGGACGAAGCTGCAAGTTGTGATAACCAAAATGGGTTTGGAAAGCCACGGTGAGGCTCCTGTTGTAAGAGGAACTTTCATTGTGAAGCCCAGTGACGATCTCTTCTGGTTCAAACGACCACAATTGCTTCTCCACCTTATCCAATTCATCCTGTTTCAGGTAAAACCAGAACTGTTAACAAAGAATGATATGGCTCACTTCTGTTTGATGAAATTTCATTTCTTTTTTCTATGAAAACAAGCATCCATCGTTCTATATCGGTATTCTCGCTCAGACTTTAATCTTTGAGTTTCGCAGAACGCCTTTCAAATGGCATTCTTCGCATGGACATGGGTAGGTATTGAAACTTATTAGTGTAATTTGCCCAAGTAATTTTCCACATCCAATGAAACTCAGCAGCTAAATTTTGTCTAAATTCAGTACAAATTTGGGCTGAGATCATGCTTCCATAGAACGACAGAGGACATTGTTATAAGGATCGTTATGGGTGTGTTAGTGCAAGTCTACTGCGGCTATGCAACGCTACCTCTGTATGCTCTAGTCACACAGGTAAATTAAGTCAAGTAACGTGTTAGTCAGATGGTTATAATCACATGCTTTCACTTTCTTCTCTGAGCATTTAATCAACCTTTCACCTTGATTAGATGGGTTCATCAATGAAGAAGTCTGTATTCACCGAGCGGGTGATTGACGGTCTGAAGAACTGGCACCATAGTGCAAAGCGGAGTCTAGCCACCAGCAGCAAGACCAATTCTACGGTTGCTTCGCCTGATCCTTCACCCTCTCGAACACTTCATACCTCATTATCTGACGGACAGGAGGTTGAAACGGTGGAGCTTTATCATCCATCACCAAATGCTGATGCTGGACATCTAGGCGTCGAAATCAGGGAAGAGAAGTTTGATATAAATGTGAACGACCCCAGAAGCTATGATGGTGAGATCTCGTTTGGCCGGTAATTAAAACTAGTAATTATTGACTCTGCGCGCAGAGAGTAATTTCTGAGGTCATCAGCCATGCAACCTCTGTAAATTATAATGAAGATTAATACTCAACTGGAGACTGGAGAGGAACTAATCAGGCTTGACCTGCAATTAAAGCCTATGCTCCTGTATGATATAGAAAGATGGTCGACGAATCTATTCCGGAATTAATGCAGTTCAAGTGCTGGAAGCGTTTGTGTGTTCTTTGGGGAATTTGAGAAGAATATGGAGATTGGTTGGGAAAGAACTACATTTATTAAATGAATGGTTGCCATTATTCAATTTTTGTACAGAATGGTGAACACTCCCAGTAAATTATTTATTATTAGCATTTTCCCATAATTCCATTGTTGCAGATCTAAGGAACATTTATGGAGTGAATTGTTATCGATACTATTTGCAGCTACTCATGTTTGGTTGATTTGAATTCTTTTCATACTAGTTTCTGCAACTGTTGCTGGTCCAGGGGATATGGGGTATTGGGAGTAGACTGGAGGACTTCTCCCGCTTAAAAAAATAGTGTAAGAATCCTAATCATGGTTTTAAATTTGGGTAAATTTCTTAAACTACCCTTGTGGTTTAATTAATTGCCTTAAATGTAACCCTTATTGTTTAAAAATTGACTAATGCTATCCCTAATGTTTCTGACAATTGACTAATTCTTCCCTTATCCTTAATGTTCCAGTCATAAACCATTTAAATGTCTGTCACATGACTATTATAATTTTCAAAAATATTCAATTTGCCCTTATTATAACTTCCAACACGGGCACCGGCTCTGACGGAATATCTCATTGTCCCCTCTCGCACCAGCTCTGACACACTGACACTGGTATCTCCGGCACCGGCACTGGCATCTCCGACACCGGCTCTTAATTGTGCTGGTAGCAGAGGGAACCAAATTGCAGTAATAACTCAGTTCAGACTTCAGGGAGAGTATTTCTCTCAGAACCTCTGCTCCGCTCTGCTCTCAAATTCAAATTCTGTAGGCTTCTCTTCACGTTTAATTATTGCTTAAAATTTCCAATTCATTTTTCTGATTTGTAGGCGGAAACATCTGAACGCGTAGCTTATGGAGGTATTAAAGATTCTGTGCGCGAATGGTAGTGTATTACCACTCAACCCTTGAAACTGAAAGGACTGAATATTGGATTTGGAGTGTCTGGTTTGCAGATATTACGATCGCACAGATTGTTGCCAAATGCCCTTCTGGAGTTGTTAACTGATTCTGGTTAAGGAAAATATTAACAATTCTGGTTAAAGAAAATAGAGGAGAATAAGGGAAGAAATCAGTGGGAAAGAATCATTGACGCCTTTGTTTCGGTTGAGAGGTAGGAGAGAAGCACATGGATGATTACAAAAGCATAGAGAGAAGTGCTAACAAGGCTCCTGGAGCGAAAGATTTATTTATCTTCTTTTCTTTAATCTTCTTTAATCGGAAGGTTTATCTGTTTTATTTTGAAAATTTGAAGAAGAATAAAGGATAAAATAGTCTTTTTTGTTTTTATCTGAATGGATGCTACCTGTAACGGAAGTATTAGTCAATTACCATAAATATAGGAGTAGAGTTAGTCAATTTTCAAACAGTAAGAGTACACTTAATCAATTAGCTAAACCATAAGGGTAGTTTAAGAAATTTACCCTTTAAATTTTCTAGAAATTTTCCAATATTTCAGCTTCAGTTAAGTTAACCAAAACGAAATCCTTACAATATTTCTTTTTGAAGATAAAAATAATAATTTTATTTCCAACGAAAAACTGGAATCTTTCTTGAAATTTTAGATTTCATCATTAGAAAATAATGTAAATACAAGAAATATTGTAAAATATTAAAATTTAAAAAAAAAAATCTACCAAAAATTATTGAAAATTTAGAAATTTCATTTTGGGTCTAAAATGGGTGAAGTTTCCAAAATTTATAACTTTGGTTGTTGTTTCATCAAGGTGTTGTGCATAAAGTTCCTTTGAGGATACAAGTTGATTTGGTGGATATTTCATTTTGATGAAGAGCACACCAGAGAAACTTGCGATTTGAGAGAGAGAGAACTGCAGTACTGGTCAGTGTTGAACCAAAAGCCCATTCTACATGCGTACATAATAGGTGAAGCTTTACCAAGCCCACTTCAAAGCCCATGTTCAAACCCAACATATTGAGAGCCCATTATATAAACAACATCCAAACGCATTCCTCGGTTACAGTCATCATGATCACATGAAGTTTCCTGGAACCCCGACGAATGCCTAACAAGTCAAGTCCTTTCCTTTCTGGATACCTAAGAAAGTCAATCCACTCAATCCCACACTAGCATTTGAGAGAACCTATCACCTCAAACTACAAGATTATTAACTTATAACCCAAGATACAGAAAAAAAAAACATAAGCCCAAAGCCCAGCCGACGTGTCAAAGCACTTGCCACTTGACTCGGCTAAGTTAGAAAAAAATGCATTTATATATTTTATATATGGTTAGAAGTTGGGTCAGTGAAGGTGAAGGTGTGGACCCAAAAATGAATGGACAAGATCATATAACAGTTACTTGAGGGTTGAGATATGACTCGATCATTAAAACAAGAAAAAGACAGAGATATATAATCGGATAGGTGGACGGTCCAAGATCAGCCCTAAAAATATATTTAGATTAGATTGAAAACGATGACATAGAATTTGGAATAGCAGCGTAAAAAGGCAAATAAGATGAATAGTGATATATGGTGACACTACCAAATTAAAGTCCGGTACGGAACAAGAAAGGACGAAGAAATATTGTGCTTATTGTGATGTGTACTCAAGGTCATCTGTCAAATTTGGAATCAAGTTCGAACTAGTATTTGGGCTTCTTTTCTACTAGATGTGGAGTGAAGACCCATCTACATACAAACTTAAGGCTTCGAAAAAAAAACATACAAACTGAAGTTAATTTCTTGTACTCCTACTTCTGGTCCTTAATATATATTATTCTATTTTTCCCACTACTTTAAGATGAACCAGAATTTTATTGAAGGAGTTTGAATTCAATTAAACTTTAATGCAATTCAGAAAAAAAAAATCTAACATCCTTCATATATAACATTATCCAAAGACTTAGGGCAACCCATTTTTCGATTTTAATATTATCAGCGGATCCCTTCACTATTATCCCTCGAACCCAACTTTATCCAAAGATACCAAACCTAGCTCTTTATCCATATGGAGATAAGTTAGAAGATAAAAGATGACAAATACATCCTAAATCCTTGAGAGAAAAAAAAAAAACAAAAAAAAAAAGGGAGATGTCACCATGATGATGGGTGCTATTATTGAACTAGAGAGCAATGTGTGTTTTGTATGGGAATTTTTCTAGTTATTGTTAACCAACTTAGCTTAGGTCACAATATATACTGTTAAATTGCAATTAATTTAAGCCCATCCCCTTTTACATTTCCTGTAGATCCAAATATTAATCATTGGAAAATAGAAGGGGTTCGACTATGATATGGATGGGTTTTGATACATGTCAATGAACCATGCATAGAGCATTGCAAAACAACTAATTAAAGCTGAAGTATTGTTAGTTTTTTATGGACATGGTCAGAAAATGAAGTTAGATTGATTATTACACCCTTAAATATTTTATCATTTAATGAATTTACCCACTTTAAGGTAAAGTAATAAGTCATTAATATATTTGATTTAAAAGAAAAGGTAGGAAAAGGAAAAAAATGATAGGGAAATATATACAAAATTTTTAAAGTTTCCTTTCCTTTTCCTACTTTTTTCACAAACCAAACGTAGTTTAAGTGTAACTTCAGCATTTGAGAAGAAATGGGGTTGCTGGATTGAATGACTTTTTTTTTCTTTGCCTTTAGTTAGTGTGAAATAATTATGTTAAGAAAATACATTCATGGATATAGTAATAAACCCAACTTCAACATCAGTCATTAAAAGAGCTCACAAGTCACAACCTACTTAATATTTTATTCACTAAAAACAATGCAATAAATCATTCATGTCAAACGACCCTTTGAACTTACACAATCACTTAAATACTCGAACTATATATATATATATATATATATATTACATTGGGAAGCAGAAGTTGAAATTAAGCCTTTTTGGATTTCAAGATGAATTATCGGGCTGCTGTGCAAATCCTGCCATATTCATCAAACATTTTGTTATTAATTTGGGTAAAATACAAAAATCTCTCTTGAAGTTTCTCGCAATCTTAAAAAGCTCTCTTATAGTTTCAAATTAGTAAAATCCTCCATTCTATTTTTGAAAAATTCGATAAAAACCTCTCTTCCATCAATAACAAAGACGGAAAACGTGTATAATTACAAAATTACCCCTAAACGTCATCTAATCAATTTGTAAAATACCATATTTAACCTTAATCAAGCAACTTCTTAGTACACTTTCTATTTTCTTTGATAGAACAGACGAATATGCAAACCCTAACAGTTACAATGGCGCTATTACTTGGAATATTCTATTTTTCAAAATATTTCATCCATTTTCCAGCAACCATTCTTCACCGGAGACCATTGAGCAAGCCTATTTGTTTCCCCTGTGAATGGATAACAAGGCTTAAAGGAGAAAGTTGTAGACAGATAGACATGAATTTGGAGAAGAGGGAAGTGAGCACATGGAGTTGCAGTTACAGAGGAGAAAGAAAAAAACTGTTTTGGTTTCTTTTAGCTTTTTGACTTATTCTTCTATTGTTTCTTGCTTCTTTAGAATTGAGAAGAAAAAGTGAGAAATTAGAATCCCGTTGCTCCTAGCAACTGAAATGATAAACCCACCTCCAAACGAAAAGATTGACAAAATCACTTGTCATCATGTTTGAAATATTTTCTCCAATGGCAATGGGACCCCTTTCATGAAATCAGAAAAAGGAGTCGCTCTCACCGTCCATCTCATGTGAAGATTATTTTAGTAGTTGTTAGTGTAGGGGTATTTTTGTCTTTATACTTATATTAAGGTTGTTGATCTGTAATGTTATGTTAGAACCAGTGCTCCTTACTTAAATAAGGGCACATATGTCTTTTCCACTATTTTTAATAATAAAAGCACATGTCTGGCCAAATGGGAGGAAGGTTTTTTGACTTCCAGTTCGAACCAGACTTTTCTCCTTTTCTCTTTCTCTCTTTCTTCCACCTTTCTACCTCTTTCTACGTAACTGATCTCAGACAAACAGAACTCCAAGGCAGGCCGAATCATGACATGGTATCAGAGCTACTTGAATCTACCTAGATTTCTGTCTGCCTACATTTCTGTTCTCTGCGCACCCAATCTAGGGTTTTCTCTTGACTTCCTGCTATCAAGTGGAGATAAGGGAAAGGGCTGAAAAGGAGTGATCGCCCTCTTCCCTTGGAGGTTTCTATGCCTCCAGTTGTGTCTTGTGTGGTCGGTTGCTGTGGTTTCTA